ACTTCAGCCCCTCGGCCTCCCTGCTCTGGGGTCAGAGCTGCAGCTCCAGGAGCCTTCTGTGCTGGGCACACACGGAGCTTCCCTGGGATGCAGGGGAGGCTGCGTTAGGAGGAGCCACACTCTAGGGGAAGATCACAAGCCCCTGTGGCCACAAGCTGAGCCCCTTCCTCCAGTTAACCCACAGTACCAGTGAGCCCTCGCCCCACCCTGTCTGCTGCTAGTTCCTCCCAATCACAGCAAACAGTGGAGGGCCAGAGAAGAGCAAGTTACTCTTTGCCCCTAAAACCCAAATAGGAAAAAGAAGGACTTATTGAGAAGTCAGGGGCCAGGAGTGAGGCCGGCGGGGTGGGCTCAGGTCCTCATGGGAACTTAAGGGAGCTCCACCCACAGCCTCATTATGATTTTTGTGAGCTACAGGCACTTTTTCCTTTATGGGTCTCCACCTGCATAAAAAATATTTAAAATTACATTTTTTTTAAACCAATTTGGAATAAGGACAAATACAAGCCAGGCTGGATTCAAGTGTGTTCTGATTTCAAAAGGAAATCACATTTCCCAGGTCCCCTGAAAAGTTTCAAGGGACCTAGAAAGTCACCTCCTGTGCCCAGTGAACAATTCAGCCTGGCCAAAGGGACTCGTGTTAGGGAGGGTATGGGAAGGGACTGCTGCAGGGAGTAGGAGTGGGGACAGGCAGGTGGACCAGGAGGGGCCACCGCAGGCTCAGGAAATCCCATAGGCTCAGGGATGCCTCATGGGGTCAGGGGTGAGACAGAGGTACCCGGTGACTCAGGTCTTTTCAGGTTCTTGAAAGCTGTCGGGAGCCCCTGGCTGCTGTCTCACCCTGTGCTGCACTTCCGGCACATCTCAGGGGAGTTTTCATCCTGGAAGCTTCCTTTTTCACATTGACACACAGTGTCTCTGGTCGTGGTGCAGGAGCTTTTATTTGTTTGACCTGACAACAGAGCATAAGGTTTTGGGAATGTGTTTCCCTTACATGTCAGTCCACCCTTCCTCACCACCCCATCCCCTCCCACTCAGCTCAACTCAGTTCACCAAGGAGTTCTGAGGGCCGGTTTCTGCACCAGCATACTCAGGACTCATACAGGACACCCACCCTGTACATAAGGACCAATACAAAAGGACCGTGATTATTTACTACATCAGATTAGGGGAAAAGCATTGTTTAGATGGCAAGGTCAGTAGCAAGGGAGGCGCAAGGGGATCACCTGAGAGACTCTGCAAGGAGAGGAGCCCTTGGGGGACTTCCCAAAAGCCCCAGCCTTGACTGGGAGGAGGAAGGGGCCTGAGAACCTGAAGGCTGAGTGAACCTGAGCACCTGCCAGGAGCACAGAGCCCGGGAGGAAACAGCCTACTCCCGGAGCAGACCCGTGCCACCACTGGAACCCAGCCCTGTCCACTGGGCCAGGCCTCCTCTGTGCTGTAATGATGCCCCCACCCCCTTGCAGGCAATAGTTCAGAGGAGTTCCCAGCCAGTTGCCATGCATTATAGAAAAGAGTTTGGTTGGGCACAGTGGCTCACGCCTGTAATCACAGCACTCTGGGAGGCTGAGGTGGGTGGATCACCTGAGGTCAGGAGTTCGAGACCAGCCTGGTCAACATGGAGAAACCCTGTCTCCACTAAAAATACAAAAAACTGGTCTGGCATGGTGGCTTACATCTGTAATCCCAGCACTTTGGGAGGCTGACGCTGACGGATCACGAGGTCAGGAGATCAAGACCATCCTGGCTAACAC